TCCTATAATTCCTGCAACACTCAACAACTGCAGCTCAAAGCTGTTGAATCGCAGCTTTTTTTGTTTGGAGCGCCGCCGTGGTCCAAACGACCGCTGCACAGAAGGGGCTTCACATGGTTCGGGCGCCTTTTGTCTTACTGTTAGCTATTCTCATCTAAAGATTCCGTGATCGATGATACTGACTACGACTACTGTGACTTCTGCTTCTTCATATATATATATATATATGAGTGTTGGAACCGCGAGCAATTCTGCTTCTTCTCTCGCGACTTCCAAGTGCAGTGATTCATTGAGTGGTGCTTCTCCTACTCACTCACCATGACAGCCGACAGCGGGATCATGGCCATATGTATACTTATGCTTGCAACTGTATACACATCAAGACACAACTCAAGAAATATCAACAAATCGGTCGTGAATGTCCCTTTCGGAGGCCCTTCACTGATGCTTCGTTTCAAGTGCCGGGTGGCTCGTGCCCTCTTTTGCTCCCGAGCTTTTCGTAGCAGTCCCTCAACCTAGCATAGGGGCTTCACGGTCAGAATAGGGCCTTCGGGTAAACACCATCGCATAGAGAGAGAGAGAGATGTATGTATGTATGTATGTATGTATGTATGTATGTATGTATGTATGTATGTATGTATGTATGTATGTATGTGGCATGCATGCATGCATGTAAATGTGTATATGTATATGCGTATATGTACATATGTACATATATATATATATACATAGATAGACACAGGAGCGGCAGGAATAATATTGGCAAATAATCTTACGAGTGTTGTGAAGCTACGGATCTCGCCTGTTTGTTAGCTCATGATATCTGGCTGGACTCCTGTTGGATGCTCACCATGTACCTTTTGGACCCCATGCCCCTTATATGGAGGGGCCCTGTGCCATTATACTAAGAATCAATCCCTGTCGAGGTAATTGCTCATGGTACTCGAACTCTAGCTGAAACCCTATATGGCATAATGTAGGGGCCTTAATAATTGGAATAGTGTTCTGGGGCCCATTATGCTATAATTGTAGTAAGGAACCCTGAGGAATAATATTGGGCGTCCATATTACATGAACCTGCTTGCAGGGTTCATTTCGTGTTTGGTACGGTCGTGCTTGGCGGCTTTTAGGAGTCGCCTCATATGTATGGAGGTGCATCCATGAAGGGTCCTATAGTACCCATGTGGGGATACTTGCCCAAAGCATGATACTTTCCATGTAGGCTTAGGACCCTGAGGACATTTCTGCATCATGTTTTAAATGCAAGCAGTAAGTTTATGGGGCTGTAAGGGCTGTAGCACAGGTGTTTGGCATCCGAATCTTCAGACGGCAATAGCACTGGAACTGCAATTGCATATGCGACGAGTAACTACACTGTGGCATTTTAGGGAGGCTATCCTACAATAGAGGCAATTAAGCTTCGAGCCTTTAGAGAGGAAGTCGCATTCGGATATCCAGAGCTGAAAGGCTGTTGCGGGTCTTTCAATGTAGAGAATGAAATTGTGGAAATCCCCCCTTTTGTGCAGTTTCGAGGCGAAGTCAAACAGAAACGCTGCTGTGATGAACTCTGCAGATCGCTTTCCCACCTAGTCAAACTCGCGACCCCCCTCTGTACAGTGCCACTGCAAAGCCCTATACCCTAAAGCCTGGACTGTGCATACGTTGCCCCTTAAGCACATATCTAAGAAAAGTATCAATTCCTAGGAACATGGGCCCCTGGGGTATGTACGCTCGAAGACTCAGGTGATGAAGATCTCACAATCTGGGCCTTTCTTCACGACTTAGCTATAAGGCTCCAGGTGTAGCTAGATATCAGGGTTTAGTGGCAATCTCCCAAATCGGTGATGTCTATGCAACAAAAACTTGTACTTCCAAAATCGCAATCGCTCTGGCTGCAACCGCAAGAATACAACATCTTCCCAAGTTCTAGAGACTTAAATATGTGCAAGCACCTTTTGTGCAGATGCACTGCATATGCCACCAAACCAAAAACCTACCTTGATGCCCTCTAATTCTAGCATAATCAGTCAACCGCTACAAAACGATCCTTGTTCTGAACTTTGGACGCGAAAGACCAAACGAAACACAACAACCATTAGATGAGTTCATCCACATGACCAGCACACTTTGTCAAAGAGCTATCGAAGGTCGGATGAAGGTAGGTGGAGACATCTCAAGCAAGAGTCCACATCCCACCTACCCTCGGAGATATCTCGAATACGCATCCTTCTACAAAGGGCCCGAAATTATGTAGGATCCTGAACATTTCAAGCAGGGTCTTGGGGCGGTATGTGGCAGCACTCATAAAATGGGTCATGATACGGAACCTTCAGGAGTAATGTTGCAAATAAATCCCGACCCATACAGAACCCTGATAGAAACTCTCTAAACCATCCTCAGGGAAACTGCTCAGTAATGCGTAAAGGCGGGGCTTTTACCCAGACCTTCCAAATCACCTTAATTAGCCTTAAGTTAGCCTTAATTAAGAAGTATGGATCCTACCGCAATAAAGATTACGCTATATCCCTGAAGTGAGAAATATTGCAAGGCCTGGGTATAATACTCCCGTGCACACTTCATCTTGGAACTCAGTTAGCGTCACAAGGAAGCACTATACTAGTTGACCTATAGGTTCCTGTTTTGATACCTTAACTGAAGTAAGATCTTAAACCTTAAAACTCAATTGTTTACTGTAGATCCCTTTTACGGCACCGTACAGTAAATTTCCCAATCCCGAAACGCTATGCACTAAACCCATAAACCTAAACCTGAATCCCCTTAACCTCATATCCAAAACGCCTAAACCTAAACCAAAACCCCTAAACCTAAACCCTAAACCCCTAAACCCAAACCCTAAACCCCTAAACCCCTAAACCCCTAGACTCCTGAATCTAAAACCCTAAACCCTAAACCCGAAACCCTAGAGGTACTATAGGGGCCTTAATAATTTTCAATCGGGTTTTGGGGCCCTTTATAGTATAATTATACTAAGGAACCCCCCAAAAAATAACATAGGTAATTATTGTGGCCCTTACCTAAACCCTAAACCCTAAACCCTAAACCTTATATGTTACCTTCCTTAACAAGAGCCGGGTATCCCACCTTCGCAAAACTGAGAGCCGGCAAGCACCGCCGATGCAAAGCTGAGGATTCGCGAAGTCGCTAAGCTGCTGTTGCAATAAGGGTTCAGGGTGTAGGGTGTAGTGTTTAGGGTTTAGGGTTTAGGGTTCAGGGTGTAGGGTAGGGTCCTATAATATTTAAAGCAGGGTTTAGGGTTTCGGGCTTAGGGTTCAGGGTGTAGGGTATAGTAAGCATTTAGGGTTTAGGGTATAGTATGGACTTAGGGTATAGGGTAATAAGGTACCGGAAGGGTTCAGGGTTTAGGGCACAGTAAAGGTTAAGGGGCTTCAGGCTTTGCGGTATAGCAGCTGTTTAGGGTTTAGGGAGTTGAGGGTATAGTATGATCATCAATACGCGGAGCCCTGAACAACCTCGAGTTGTGCGCGAGACAGTCTTTTCGGGCACGAGGCAAGGCAAGGCGCAGTAATCAACGCATTCAAGCAAAGAGCTGCATTCTTGCCTAAACTCGGCATGATCCCAACTTAAATCCTAAGGGTCCTAGTCACACACACTCCCCCATAATTACAAACCTACAAGTACTGCTTTCCTAGACCCACGGGCCTCGACATTAGGTACTTTGAAAGCTGGGAAGCTCATGATCCCACAAATCCTGAAATTGTGAGGCCAACTCCTGAAGCCTAACATAGGGACCCGAACAGGGATGTGGGGGCTACAGTAGACTTGGGGTTCTGGGTTTGGGGTTTTGGGGGTATTTGTAGACTCATACAGGAATTATGCGGGGCTTTCTATCATTAGGCAGAACCAACTATTCAGATCCTGTACTACTGCCACCACCCCCGACACAACACACAAAGCACATCGCACAGCCAGGTGAAGTACCTCGGAGCTGCTATGCAAATTGTACTTCCTGTGAAACTGACATCCAAGAGTCGGACGATAATCATGTAGTATAAGCCATCGTAATGTCATGTAAGCCAACGCAGCGAGAATTCTGAATCACATGTCATGTTCCCTCATGTACTACATGAAGCGGGTTGTCTCACACCGAACGAAGCAGTACGGTTGGGTTGGGGGCTCATAGCTTCGAAATTGGAAGCATGTTGTTTAGGGTTTAGGGTTAGCGTCTAGGCTTGTGGTACCTTTAAAGTCTACACTCCGTTGCTAATCCTCGCGCTTCTTGGGGGCACAACGGAAACAGCGCGAACCTCAGGCAAGCGCCCTGCCGTGGCGACGGGGTTTCGGAGGGACTTTGAGATTGTAGGGTAAAAGGGGGTTCAAATTTGTAGAGTATATAGGGTTTAGGGTTCAGGGTACAACGCAAACCTCGAAAGAGCAACAATGCAATCTCCTGCTCGACAAGTCAAAAGGATGGACTTGGGGATCACGTGAATTCTACGACGGTTGAACCGAGTCCTAGGTGCTCATATTGCTAAGGGCCCTTTAACAGTGAGTTTTAAGTTTGGGGTCCAGTGTCTGAGGTTTGAGTAATGCTGCTGTTTTTGGTTCGTGCGGGGCTTGGGCGTAGGGTGCAGGTACCAGGAAAAAGGGGTTGGGCGAGTGTCAGAACTTTGGCTAAAGCGGTTCCACGACCATGTGTCTGTCGGGTACGGTGGTGGGCAGGAGGTATTTGAATAAACTCAAACTATCCAACAGAAAGGCAACAAGCCTGAACCAGGTAACCCCGAGCTCAAACGGCAGCCCCCAAAACCGCAAACCCTACAACGTCTGAGAGTCTCGCCCTCAACCTGCAAACTTACAAGCCCCAGCTCGACTCCTGTAGCACAAAAAGCGTAACTTTTGGAATCTACTAGGAGATGACACCGAACGCCCTGATAATAACCTCAATACTAGCCCTGAATGCCATCTCTAACATGTGCCCATAATCATGACCTCATGTTACCCCCCGGGGGTGCCTTAGATTAGACGAAGCGGGGCACGTGAGACAGCTCCTTGGCTGTCTTCGTGACCCACATCTCGTCCTGACCACAGAGCGCTTCAGCGTATACCTCAAGTTACCATAGTAAGGACGCAGTAAAGCCTCCATAGATCCCTATTGAATATTATGGTAACTTGAACTGAATCCTGAAGCCCCAAATCAAACTAAACCCTAAACCCTAAACCCTAAACCCTAAACCCTAAACCCTAAAAAGTCACCATGGCAGCTATGGTACGTTAAACCGACTTCGGAGTTTAAGGGCTCAACGGGCTCGAGACTTCCCGGCTTTCTGGCCGAGGAGGACGCTGTAAAACAAAACAGAGGTTTAGGGTTTAGGGTTTAGGGTTTAGGGTTTAGGGTTTCTGAAACTGCACTTTTGCTTCAAGACAGGCTCACAGACATCAATTCGTAAGCGACCAGCCCTAGGATCAGTTTGCATCTAGAAGTCCTCCGAAGGGAACTCTAATCCCGGTAAGCCACAGCTTGAAGCCTCCAAGCGATCATCTGTAAACGCCCTTCAAACCTCAAGCCCAGACAGATATCAAGCCCGACTCCCTATAGACACGAGGTCGCAAACCCTAAACCCAAACTCCTTGACCCTGCTATACACTGCCGCTTGTGACAGGCTGCTAGCGTCTGATTGTGCGCGGCGTCGATAAGTCGGAAGCCTCCGAACTACTGTAGGGGCCTTAATAATTAGAATAGGGTTTTGGGGGTTCCTTATTATAATCACAGGATAGTAGATCCCAGAACCCTATTCTAATTATTCAGGCCCCTATAGAAATCCCAATCGTTTCTTTTTTTGTGAAGTGAGCGACTCTACCAGGACCCTACTTGTACACTCAAATAGGAATGTATCCCTAAGGGTCCAAGTACCTAATAATCATGTACTCCCCCAAATAGTAACCTACATAACTACAACCCGAAACCTAAGTACCTAATTATTGGGTCCTTTGGACCCTTGGGGTGTGGCCCCAATTAATAAGTTTTAGGGTCTACTAAGGTTTATGGTCCCAATTAATGCGTATTTAGGGTCTGCTAGAGGGCAGATAGGTCTTGCAATTGCGACATGACATCAGCCGTTTTCGGGATCAATATTGTTCGTAGCCTGCCATGCGAACCCTAAAGCTATGCCTGGAGCCTCCGAAACCCTAAACCTTCAAGCCATACTATAGGGTCCTTAATATTAGAATAGCGTTTTGGGGTCCATTAAACAAAAAATATAATAAGGGAACCCCATAACAGTATTGGGAATTATTTAGCCCCGTACATTCAGCCCCGAGCAGCACAACCTTATACTGTCTGAGCACCCGGATCAAATCTACGCAATATTACGTAGCCCTACAAACCTTAAGCACAGTACGCCGGCCTTGAACCCTGAACCCTGTAAACCTCTAAGCCCCCACACCCTAAATCCCAAACCGTCCTAAACTCTAAACCATCCAAAGCCCTAAACCCCTAAGCCCTAAACCCCTAAACCATCCTAAACCCTCGACCCTAGACCACCAAATCACTAAACCCTAAACCACCAAACCTCGGTCAACAAGAGAGCCTTCAGACTTTAACCCTAAACCCTAAACCCCTAGACCCTAAACCCTAAACCCTAAACCCCTAAACCCTGAACCCTAAACCCTATAAACCCCTAAACCCTAAACTCTTTAGACACGTCAACCCCTGACACTGCTTCAGCCCCAAATAGGGACCCAAAAAAGCACATAAGCAAAGCTTAGGATAGGGATATCCCATATGGGTGGTTGTCAAAATTATGGTCCCTTTTTGGGTCCTATTATAATGCGGCACCTGTTATTTAGGGTACCCCAAAAGGGACCATAATTTTGAGAACTACCCATATAAGTCCCCTTATAATGAAGCACAATAAGGTAGGGATATCCCTATAAAATGCTAATGCTTAAGTCCTTTTTTGGGTTCCTAACCAAATTCTCTCGGCGCATCAAAGCGACGCAAGGTCGAGGCGTTGACGACCTCGAGAAGGCCAAGTGCCATGACATCGGTGGCGAAGCTGGCCGGATCTTGGGTAGGCTTTAGGGTTTATAGGTTTATAGGGTTTAGGGTTTAAGGTTTAAGGTTTAGGGTGTAGCGTTTAAGGTTTAGGGTTTAGGGTTTAGGGTCCGGTTTCCCACTTTCCCTTGTAACAAAAAAGATGAGGGCATTCCCTTCCTGCTATCAGGTTTAACAAGGGCCCCCTGAACCCTGAAGGCAACAAGGTACTACTGGGAAACCTAGGCTGTAACTGGCTTTAGGAGGCTTTAGGTTCTTGGGGTGCTAGGGCCTTGGGGTGTTGGGTCTTCGTTTAAGCCTGACGTGTTCACCACGTTGTGCAAACGACTTCATTCTGGATACTTCCAGCGCAGTAGCAGTAGTAGCAGCAGGAGCGGCAGCAGCAGCAGGAGGAGGAGTAGTAGTAGTAATAGGAGGAGCAGCAGGAGCAGGAGCACGAGCAGGAGCAGAAGCAGCAGCAGCAGCAGCAGAAGAAGCGATTGGCAACCGGAGTTGGAGTGGGATGATGAGGTTGACGGTGCAGATGTTGATGATGACAAAGCCGATGACCATGCTGGTGATGGTGATGATGATGATCATGCTGCAGATGATGGTGGTGATGGTGATGATGATGGTGATGATGATGATGATGATGATATCGAT